TACTACTACCACTACCACTACCACGGTGCCACTATACTACTATACTATACGCTACCATGCCACACCACACCATACTGTACTATACCAAACAAACTAGGCATTCTGCTCTCTCCTCTCCTCTCCTCTCCTCTCCTCTCCTCTCCTCTCTCCTCCCCTCCTCTACACCACACCCACTTTACTATAACTATACACTCTGCTCTAAGCCCTGGAACTCCTCGTAGTCTCCCGTGCGGAAGACCCAGACCTTGCAAAGGAATCTCAATTTGTCTTCGCTTCCGGGCGGCTTCGCAGACTGGGATTGGAAACTTTGGGACCTTGATACCTAGTTGTCCAGTATCCTAGGGGAACTCATGGTTAACCTTGGGGATTATGTTTTAGGGGACATAATACTCCAAAGAGGTTACAGGTTACCAACTCTACTACTAAGGATAACTGGTGGGTACAACAAGCTTAAGATCGAAATCTTGGGATCTGGTGGTACTGGAGGACCACAAAACTTTGAATCGAAGCCCTTTGATGTTACTGCCCCTGGAGCTGCCTGCACCCTGAAAGATGCAGTCGGGCGGAATTTCATCCACCGGCTTCGGAGGTGGGCCTACGACAGATCAATCGTGGCTGATAGCTCGGAACATTGGCTCATCACTGAAGCCCTAAACCCCAAAACCCCGAATCTGTCGTACCATGCCAAATGGTATAGAAGCTGCACTGCAACATGCGTGTTTATGCACGGTACTGTACATATGTATGTATGTGAGGCAGAATTCGTTATTCTGGGCTGCAAGGCCTCCTGCGCGTCGTAGGCGCTGTCCCCGAACTGCACTAAACATTCTGCCCAATCTTTGGCCTGGCGTGTAGTTGGGGCTGGAGGGGTTCAAAGGTCCAAGCTGCAATCTGGAGGCCTTTCAGTCTGAGCGCATGGCTTTGCGATCAAGAGATCCAAGTCTGTTCAAGGCTCAGGGTGTAGTGTAGTGCTTTTTATGCGTTTCGAGGTCAGGGAATAGCTTCGAAATTTCAGGCCAATAACAGCAGCCCGTTGCCGAAAGCGGGCCAATATGACAACCCCCCCCCTCCGGATAAACCTACGAACATGCCATCGGGAGCACCAACATTCGAGTGGGGATTGTTCAAATTATGGGGCCCCTTTTATGGTCCCACGCCCCACCTTGGATCGTACTGCGTCTTCCACATCCGGCGGGCGCATCCTGCCACGAGACTGCGCCGACTCTCGTGATGGCCACAAAGTTTGACGATCGCTGCAAGCGGTTCTATCCTGTCGCAGTCCGATTTTGCTTTCCCGTCGACTTCAGCAGCTGACGACAGTGCTCCTAGGTTGCGAGAAGTATCTGTCAGCAACTACGAGATCGAAAGAACCGTGAAGAGCGCAGTGCTGTCCCTGGCCTGGTCGGTGGCTCCATCACAGCTCGTCTGGTAGTTGGCTGTTGCAACTGCCTCCAGGAAGCTACGGCCAGCTGAAAAACTGACACTCGTGCTGAATCTCAGCTCTACAACACAGTCAAGCGCCTTAAATCGGTTCTCTGCGACATGGACCACAAGGCACGGGCCGCGCCGGCAAAGGCCTGCACACCTCACAGCAGGCAGCTCTGCTGGCAAATTGTCCCATATTAGCCAAAGGCACCAAAGGCGAGGCTCCGACCCGGTCGCCAGGCGAGTGCAAAGGCTGCAAGAGCCAGAATGCCATGACAGCGTCGCCTCGGAAGAAGCATCTTTTTCGTACTCTCTATTTTGCTATACTTTACTGCGCTATACTATGCTGCAGACCGTATAATGAATACTGTCTACTGTATACTATACTAGACTAGCTTGTACTGTACAGTACAATCTTCTAATGGACCACGCTTTTTCAAACTTTATTTTTCTCTTCTATACTGATACTGCATACTTTGCTTTAGTATAGCTACAATACTATAAAATACTAAATAACACTACACCCTTGCATCTTCTATATACTACTATATACTATAATATAACTCCTATATCCAATACACCATACTACATACTATACTGCTATACTGCGGAGGCTGGCCTCGTCAGCTCCATGGTTCAGGGAAAACTCGGCCCAAGGCGCAGCCGTGGTCGGTGCTTCGGCAACTTCCCTCTGAGTCGGATGTCTTCTTGTAGAAGCAGTAGTGAAACAGCTGAGCTTGTTCTGCTTTCTTCCGAAAAGACCTGCTCCATCCGATAAGTGGATCCATTGCCATTACATGCACGGGTGGACACTCGGCAGCCTCTAGCTGTGCCTTGAAGCGGAACACAAGCGACATTGGCAGCCATGGAGATGGGACATCACCCCGTCTCGCGCTGGACATGAAGAGAAAGCGAGGAATGGACACCGAGGTCAGGGCTGCAGTCAAATGTCCGACGTTAGAAGCACAAGATGCGCGTGTCATGTTCTGCGATATTTACTTACTTTGCAAAGCGAAAGGTCATTCAACAACGATTACAGCTCGAGGGGGTGGCACCGTCCGCCGCCTGGAAGCAGCCAGCCTGGTTCTTCAGAGTGTTGCGGGTTGATGCTTGTTGAGGGACTGGTGCGAGTTTGGCCAATGGCTCAAGCCTACATGTGCTGTGAGAGTCTTGCCATGGCGGTCCGCCGCTAGAGCCAACAATAAATGACGCACGACAGTTTGCAACGAAAGTGCATGGTAGAAGAACTCAGATGCCTTCAAACCATCTCACTGTTACAGCTTGGGCCAGGTTACTATAAGGGTTACGATAAGGGTAGGGGTTCTATAGGGGCTTGACGGCAAACTTGCCACCTTCTGGGCGCAAGGACCCCAAAGTTGCCACGACGCAGCCCACCACTTGGCTCTGCTCTGCCTGGGCCTTCGGCAAAACAAGCTTTATGGGGCTGTGGAGGGCTCGTTGAACAGTGAACAAGTTTCAAGTCACGGAAGTAGCCGTTTCGAGCTTAGGGTTGAAGGTTCCAAGCTTGGGGCACGATGCAGATGTAGCCTTTCCCTGATGCAGCGTTCATGTTACACCTCCCAAGTTTTCGGATAAGACCCATGAACCTCGACATCTGCACCGGACCTCAAAACACATGAACAGGAGACGTCCTGGAATTTCCACATCGATCCCGAATGGGATCCTAAGCATTTCGGGACGCGTCGAGCCATGAACACATACACTACAGTCTGTAGGTAAACAGATAGATAGCGAGACGGAAAGAGACAGACTGGCACATCGGTAGATGGTATGCGCATGTCATGGAGAAGGGAGGGGAGGGGACGGGGGGGGGCAGGGAGGTGGGCGGGGAGGGGAGGTGGGCGGGGAGGGGAGGGGGGCGGGGGGAGGGGAGGGAGGGACGGGAAAGCGAGAGAGAGACAGACAGCGAGAGCAAGAGGGCGAGATCGCCCATCTCTGCTGCAAAACCTAAAAAACCCAAAGCCAAAAGCGCCTTGGCTCTCCATGAAGTTGGCCTGCTCAGGCTTGCGGACAGGAAGGTTATTGATGGTGGGTTGAGGCCAAGGACCAAGGAGCTGATGCACTCCACATCGTGATATTCTAGCAATTGGCCACAGCACCAGATCATGCTTGCCAAAGTGCAAGGTAATTTGCTTCAGATTCCGGGTTCCAGCTAGGCTAACATGCGCTGCTGGGTCAGTCTATTTTGAAACTCAGGCTGGAGTTTAAGGGCCATCCAAGTGCCGGACAAGATGGGGCCGGATGCGACAGATCGAGCCTGGAGAGGCTCCTGGAAGAAGCAAAGGTTTCATGAGCAATCAAACTGCCGAGCGAAGAGAAGAAACTAGTTATGGTGCTCAAAACTGTAGAAAGTGTAGACGGAACAGTAGAAGCCTTCATGAAGTACACCCTCCTCCCACGCAGCCACCTCCCCGCCCCCCCCCCCCNNCCCCCCCCCCCCCCCCCCGCCCGCAAGCTCAAACATAAAACGGCGATCAGCGAACCGAAATCAGGCTCCAAGTATGACACTGTCGGATGGACGGTTTGGGATGTGGGTTGCATACAGGTCCGGACCTAGCCTGGGCCCTGAGTCCTAAAGCCCAAAAGCAACGGCCGTCACAACAAAAACTCTACCAAACAAAGGGCTGGGGGATAAAGGCTCGAAGCCCGCATCCGGTGCTGTACAGCTTTGTGAACTATTCCGACGGCTTCCCACCCGATTCCAAAGCCTCAGTGGGCAAGCTGGCAGGCCCCGGAACTGCGCCGACAAGCGCCATTGCTTGGGGCATTTCCTTAGGCCTGTAGCTTTCACGTCTTACGAGCTTGTGGGTTCGCGGGTACGAGCTTATGCTTGAAAGTATGCTGACTACACGGGCTGTTCTCCGATGTCATGTCCGCCATCTGCCACCCAGCTCTAGGACAAAACTTCGCAGGCTGAGGGTTCTACCAGAGCTTCCGGGGTTGTATGTTGGGTGAGTCCAGGCCTTCAAACAAACGAGAAGAGGGGCTCACATGAGTAGATTAAGGCCTGGCGGTGCTTCATACTACCAGAACTAACCTGAGATCCGACCTGCAAGTACAGGATCCTTGGGAAATCGAGGGCTGAGAGGCGACAGGGGGAAATCTTGAGCCAGGACATCACCGGGCCCCGGAGACGGTACCGAAAGAACCTGAAGGAGGAAGAATCCTTACTTACCAGAGGCCGTGCATGGGGCTCCAGCAGAAGAGTGCATGTGTAACGGGGCAAGTTGTGGTCTGGTCTGGATTCGTATAGTTTGGCATGGTACGATGTAGCATTATAGTACAATACAGTTCCAGCACCCTGCACCAAGTATGAAGCCGTAAACTCCATGCATCTGCACAACAGGCTTGTTTATATGCATTGCACCGTCACCGGGTTCCAGCCTGACTCAGCAATCTCCAAAAGGCAGAGCTGTGTGTGATGTGCACCGTAGTCAGAGTTGAGGAATACCTGGCATCGCCCTGCGCGTTTAGGACAGTATTTCCATGAGTTCGTCGCCATCGTCGTCCTCAACGTCAGTGTCGCTCCAGGTAATTCGGCTGCGAGTGGCAGCCACATCAAAATGAATGAATCATGATGTCTCCCTCCGTGTCATTATGCAGGCAAACGAGTGCAAGGAAACACCAGATCGAATCAGATCAGCCCAGCAAACACAGGCAACGAGCACGACTTCTGAACAAGAGCGCAAGCTCTGGAAGCGAGGAAGGCAAACGCCAACACATCACGTCTGCGAGACCGGCCAAGTGCACGTTTCGTGTCGGAGAGTAAAGGCCAGCCAGCGAAGTGTTACACGATTGAACGACGTCTCCTGAGCTGTAGACTGCAAGTGCACTGTTGATGCCAAGCCCTCGTCAAGGTTTCAAGGCAGGTGTGTGTGTGTGTGTTGCAGATCTTGTGTCGTGCCACTGCTGGTGCTGTAGCACAGCGCACCCACCTCGACCAAAGCCAAGGAGCGGAGATGTAGCTTATGGTTTGTTCTGAGGTGTCAAATCAATCAGGTCACCAGGTAAGGACAGTTCAGCTGAGCCTGCACAGCACTACTGTCACCACCTTGGTCAGCAGCACCCCAGGTCACGACTGATCCGTCGCCAAGAATAGCAGCAAAAGCCTTGTCAGTAGATTGGACCTCCTGCACATTCTTAAGCTGACCCTGCACAGCACTACTGTCACCACCTTCGCCAGGATCACCCCAGGTCACGACAGACCCATCACCAAGAATGGCAGCGAAAGCTCCATCTGAGGCTTGGATGTGCTGCACGTCCTCCAGCCGACCTTGCACGGCACTACTGTCACCGCCATAGCGAGAATTAGCCCAGGTCACGACAGATCCATCGTCAAGAATAGCTGCGAAAGCGTATCTAGTTGCTTGGATCTGCTGCACAGTCTTCAGCCGATCCTGCACAGTGCGGCTGTCACCACCATGTTCAGCATCACCCCAGGTCACGACAGATCCATCCTCAAGAATGGCAGCAAAAGCACCGAAAGTCGTTTGGATGCTCTGCACAGTCTTCAGTTTATCCTTCGCCTTTCTACTGTCACCGCCTCTTTTTGCATTACCCCAGGTCACGACGGATCCATCGTCCAGAATGGCAGCAAAAGAATCTGCGCTGGCTTGGATCTGCTGCACATTCCTCAGCTGATGCTGCACAGCACTGCTGTCACCACCGCGGTTCGCATCACCCCAAGTCACGACGGATCCATCACCAAGAATGGCAGCAAAGGCGTTTTCAGTGGCTTGGATCTGCTGCACTTTTTTCAGCTGATGCTGCACAGCACTGCTGTCACCACCATCGTCCGAAGAACCCCAGGTAACGATGGAACCGTCACCAAGAATCGCGGCAAAAGCGCATTCAGAGGCATGGACCTCTTGCACGTTTTTCAGCTGATCCTGCACAGCGCTACTGTCACCACCACAGACAGGATCACCCCAGGTTAGGACTGATCCGTCGCCAAGAACGGCAGCGAAAGCTTCAGTAGTGGCTTGGACCTGCTGTACATTCCTCAGCTGATGCTGCACAGCACCACTGTCACCACCACTGTGCGCAGCACCCCAGGTCACGACGGATCCTTCGCCAAGAACGGCAGCAAAAGCAAAGGCGGTGGCTTGGATCTGGTGCACATTCTTCAGCTGGACCTGAACAGCACTACTGTCGCCACCATGCACAGTAGCACCCCAGGTTGCTACGGATCCGTTGCCGAGACAGGCAGCAAATGCGACCTTGCAGGACCGGACTTGGACTCTGCTTACATGCAGGGTCAATGAGTCACCATCCTGCAACCGAGTACTCCTGATCGCTGCAGATACATCCAAACAGTTTCCTGATGAGTCCACCAGCCGGCCCTTTCCGACTCCAAGCGCAGTCCGTGCCCGATGTTCCAATGCTTCCACTTTTTCATCCAAGTCAGCATGCACCGTAGCTGTCTTGCCACTCAGCAGTGCGACTTCCAAACAAACCTGCATTAGGCAACAAGTTGCTAACTACCCTCAACAGTGGTCTACCTATGTTCGTCATCAATCGTCTGGCGATGCAGATGTACTGGATGAATTGCTTCCAGCAAGGATGCAAGCCATTTAGCCTCACTGAGCCGAAACTGCCGCTGCATAAATGTCTCTTCCAGACGAGACCCCGCCACAAGCAACATCAGGCCCAACAACAATAACAACAATAATAATCATAGCTACTAGTAGCTAGTATCATTAACATGTTTTTACCATTGTTGTTATTACTCAAAATATTCAAGAAACAACCACCAACACCACCATAACCACAGCGACAGCCACAGCCAGCCTGTGTGATCGACATCACAAAGAACTGGCACGACGATTCATTGCTAGTTACGATCGGCAGGAGCAGCCGTGCTGATTCCTTCCCACCAATGCTACCCTCCCCGTGGTATGAAATCTTACGACTCACGACCCGAAATCTTACGACCCCCTTGTCCCCCCTCCCACGATTCCCCCCAACTTTACAACAGTCGGGGCTTAGTGCGGCTAGGGTATCGGAAAATGCAAAACTAGAGGCAAACTAAGACATCAAGGCTTCCCCATGCTAGGAAGCAGCCCTGGTTTACCGGCAGATACACTGTACCAACAACAAGATGTCGCACAAACCAAATATGCAGTCATGATCATCAACATCATGATGGCTAACATCACTACTACCATCATCATTACCTCAGTAGCTTGTACCTGAATCAAACGAATATACATGGTACGATTGGCTCATTCCGCTTGCCTTTAGTAGTCCGTCCGACGTGCTGGGCTGAAAATTTTGACCGGGCATGTCAATGTCTGATCTGGTGGCTTCAACTTCCAACTTTGGGAAGATTCTGGACATCTGCCAGCTGCCAATATCTCCATAACCATTGCAAGAGACAGCAAGACCACTGGAGGCTCTGGTCGGTTTCAAACAGACGTCTCAGGTCTTGATTCTGCGGAAGCACCACATGACATGCCTTCTCAATTTTTCGAGAAGAACAGGTCGAGCCGCGGCTGCTGCGTCAGTTGCCCAGTCTCCGAAACACCTCCAAGCATCAGATTGCTGTTTCAAAAAGAACAGAGTACTACGCAGTCCCATGAAGATGCCAACATCGATGTATATAGCTACTGCCAACATGGCGAAAGGGTTGAGCAAGAGTGTGATCATGATGATGGTGATGATGATGATGGTGATGGTGATGATGATGATGATGATGATGATGATTGATGATGATGACGGTGATGGTGGTGCTGGCGAGGACTGGGATGATCATGATGATGCTGATGCTTGGTTGTGCGACACCACACTACTGTAGCTGCAAGCTCTGGGATGTGTGGAATGTGTTTTTATGAGAATCCTGTGTGTGAGTTTTCTGTGAGCGATTCTGTGAGCGGTACCTCTGAGCAGGGGGCGGGGCTGTGAGCAGGGTCTCTGAGATTTTTGGGAGTGGGTGGTGAGAGCGCGGCCCAGTCTTGAGCGGGGCCGGGGTTGATGGGAGTGGCCCGCTCACACACCGGGCCCCGCTCTCAGACCCCGCTCACAGAAATCTCACAGACCCCGCTCAAAACCGCCATTTCCTTGTGTTTTACAGTAGAACGGAGCGGCAGGGTTTGCGAACGGAACAGGGCCTGAGCCGGCTAGTCTGTGAGGGGAACTGACAGCTCTTTAAACTCGGTTCAGACCCTCTCACAGACTACCCACACCCGCGGCTCACAAGAAACTCACGGCCCTGACATCTCTTTCAAATTTCACCAAACCCACAGATACCTCTCTCACTGTCTCTCTCAGGAACCTCAAAGAAATGATTGATCTACCATCTTGCAGAGGTTACAAGACCGCTAGCGCAGCTAGCGCTGATACACTTCTCTGGTGCCATCAAACAGCAAACCGAGATTCTGACAAGTATTGCTGTCATGATAAGCATCTTCAGCTACTACTACTACTACTACTACTACTACGACGACGACTACTACGACGACTACTACGACCACTACTACTACTACTACTACTACCACCACCACTCCTCCTACTGAACTCCTACTCCTACTGCCAATACCCCCACTTCTACTCCTATTCCTACTACTACTGCTACGACAACAGCAACAGCGACTACTACTACTAGCACTACTACTACCTACTACTACTACTACTACTACTGCTGCTGCTGCTGCTGCTGCTACTACTACTACTACTACTACTACTACTACTACTACGCTGCTACTACTACTACACCACTACCACTACTACTACTACTACTACTACTACTACTACTACCACTACTACTAATTATAGTACTGTATGAGTCGCATTGCAAACTCGTTTATTGTTGCTGCTCGCACTCGCTTCACTAGGCTGATCCAAAACGGGATCGAAACACTGCGACGATAATCGCTGTCACAGCTGTTCAGCGCGCTGTTGCTACTGCTGCTTGAACTTCAATTGCTATAGCTGCACTGCTGTACGCTCTTCCACCGTTCCGCCTTAGTTTGTAATGGGCAGCATCTATGTCGGGTTCTGGAAACGTCGGAATGCAAAGATGCACCGGCCCACTTTGTCTCGGTTGTTGAAGCTTGACGGGAACATCATGGCAGAATCAGTTCAACCACGGCCGTCACCTAGCTGCTCAAGTACCTCGAGCATTCGACAGCACGCAGGGCTCCGCCTTCAGCAAGCAACCCGCCAAAAGCTGTCCGTGGCCTTTCAGCAGCATGGCATTGTGAATGGTGACCGGGTTGTTTGGCCTTAGCCGCGCAAGATCAACGCTTGCACTTGGTGCCCTTTGAGGGGCAAACATCAAGTGTCCCTTTATTCCAACACTTAAGGCTCGATGGTTGTGGGACACGCAGAACAGAGAGCGCCCTGGGCTATTAAACCCGACCCGAGAGACATGACAATCATTCTGCCAACTTCACCAGCACAAGGACGGGCTTGGGACAAGCACAAAGAACATACTCAAACTTCTACATATACCTATTTGTCTATCTATCTGTTTGTTTATATCTACACACATCTACCCTGTATAGTTTCAGAAGATAGTTAGACATGTTCTTGCATGTGGTGAAAATAATGAATTTCAGCGTGGTAGCTGAATAAGTTAATGACATGCCGTGATGCAAGCTCGCCCTCCAACTCAGCGATCCTCCAAAAACCTTCTGTCTCTACGAGTTTGTGTCACAACCTTTACGTACACTACTGACTGCCATTCGGAATGTAATGTAGGGTGTAGTACCAACACTACTACCCTAGAGTTTGTATTTGCAACATGGAACAAAGCTTGGACGCACTTTGTACAACAAGCAGGGCGCTTGATCACCTTTGCCTTGACAGTTCTTGGAGCCACTGTGGGCTTCGATCGTGGAGGCAGTTCTAAAATTTGGGCGACCAGCCTCGACACCTTGGAAGTTGACGAAGCGTCCTGGGCAAGCTGCAATGGACTCTTACCATTGCCATTGGTCTTCGTCCTGTCTGCTCCAAGGCGAAGAAGCAGCTTTACTGACTTCGGCCTGCCATTCTGCACAGCCAGATGTAGAGGAGTGTTGCCGTAGATGTCCGCAACATCCGGGTCGGCACGTGCCTTGAGTAAGTACTGCAAGGTTTCGGTGCCTGCTGCCCATGCAGCGTAGTGTGCAGGGCATCGACCATAAGTGTCTGGCGCACTAACACATGCGCCCGCCACGACCAGGCAGCGTGCAATTGAAGTGTTGTTTGCTTCAGCGGCCGCCTGCAATGCCGTACACTCCGGCACAATGCACAGGTTCCGAGCTGCACCGACTTCGAGCAAATATCGGACGATCTCTGCATGACCGTTTGAAGCTGCGGCAGCCATTGGCGTAATCCTGATACCTCCGTCTTTGTCAGCACCAGCCTCCACCAAGCAGCGCACGATGGAAAGCAGCCCCCTGCCTGCAGCAATCTCGAGAGGTGTGGCCAAAGCAGCCCGCCTGGTGTTGGGATCGACTGGTATGTCTAGGGCGGCTCGGACTGCTTTCAAAGAAGAGCTCCAGATTGCCGCTATCAACTCTTGCTCCCGGTCTTCACAAAACGGCAGCACAACGACCTGGAGGGATTTGCCCTCCGGCAGGTCCTGCAACAAAAGCAGAGTCGGAAAGACAGACAGCAGTGGCAAAGTTCAGTACAAATCGTTCTTTGGGACTGTTGTGGCTGCTACATTGCTGAATGGCATTAATTGCTATGTACTATTTGCACATCATCACTTGGTCCTGCATGCCGGCATTATTGGTGATGGCATTGCCATCACAAGCAAATCTCAGTTGACATGCTCCACAGCCCAGCGAGGGATGCAGATGCTCTTGCAACTCGGCCAGACATCCCCTCGAAGAGCCTAAGAGGCGATGAAACAATGCATCATCCAAGGTGGCGACAATGCTACCCGACATCGAGACAATGTGCCGCATTGCACAACTTCTAGCTGGTCGACTCTTGCGCAGGAATATACTTCGGCCATTTGCTGGATGCTGCCAACCACGAACAAGGACTATGCACCATAGGCATTACGCTTTCGGCGAAACTCATCTGCCAGCCATACCGCAAACCCTAAAACCCGGACCAACAAGCTAAAATGATGACGGAACATGTGCCATCACTTTCCAAAGTCAGAGGAGTAGTGTTCTTCTTAATGAATGGTATCGTTGCTGGCATGCTTCTTGCGATTAAGTATATGTAAGACTTCTAGACTGCTAACTAAGTTCATAAAGTTTCCATTAAATGGAGGGCTTGGGCGTGGTGTTGCGAGTCGCTCGGCAAGCTTGACACAACTCATCGGACTCGACCCCGCAGCCTCCAACCCCCCGAAACTCTATCTTTGTTCTGATTCCACATGGTTGACACCGGCACCCCACAGTATTGAACCTTAATGGTGCAGTCACCCAATACTGGGTCCTTACATCAAGGATGCTATTGAGGGCCTATAAATAAATAAGTAAATAAATAAAAAAATAAGTAAATATATATATATATATATACGCATATCCTAAAGTCCTAAAGCCCTAAACCCGTAAATCTCTAAACCCTCGAGCCCTAAATCCCTAAACCCCTATAGAAGAGTCCTAAAGCCCTGGGCCGCCGCACTCCATGGTTAGAGCTTTCTCGAGACCCTGGGCCGCCTCCAGGGCACTCAAAGATCTGGCATCGGATCCCTTTAAGGGTTTAAGGTGTAGGGTTTTTTGGGGTTATCGGATCCCTTTAAGGGTTTAAGGTGTAGGGTTTTTTGGGGGTTATCGGATCCCTTAAGGGGTGCTGGAGATCCTTCGGCTTCCTTTAAGCGTGCTAAGAGTTGAAAAGGCACTACAAGAGTTCCTCTGAAGATGGTTTTGAGCGCCCTCTAGGGGTTCCTTACAGGATACGATAAGGGTGCTAGACGGGCTACGGGGTGGAGATCTTACAAGTACTGCGCTGGCTCTTGACACCCTCGCAGGCACATTCCGAAATCACTTCCTCCGTCAACCAGAAAGCCATGTGTCTTCTTTGCAGTGGTGTGCCAAAAGGGCATGTGGGCTGTGTATACACGGTTTGACAAACGAATCCACTATTTCATCGCCAGTATGAAGTCACCGCGCCATGGAAGTGGATTTTTCAAGCACGTTAGAGGCCCTGCAGATTTCGTAGGCGTCTAGACTCGGTTCGCCTGCGGGATTCGGGGCCCAAGGGCCTTTGATGGCCTCTGGGTAGTGAAAAGTCATAGGGTCTGAAGTGTCTGATTATCATGGATCTGCCTGTTGGAAGGCACCAGCCACCATCCACACCTCAGACTGGTGCAGCAGGGGTTGGCATGGCAGCGAGCAACCAATACAAACAATAAGCAAAACAATAACAGTGAGTCATACTCATTATCATGACAACAATGAAAAATCAGAATAACATCAATATAAAACCGCAGTCTTGCGACTACTTGGTTTACTTGGTTCATCGTCATCATCACATTGCTCTCATCTGATCATCGTCCCCAGCATCATCATGGCCAGTTTCCGCAGGCAGCATGACGACCTTCGTCAGCATCAACATCAGGTCATTCAGTCTCGCCGTTACCATACCACCGACTCCTGGGTGTCCAGCTACGACATCAACACGAACGCCACCAGCACCACCGCCACCACCGCCACCACCGCCACCACCGCCACCACCACCACCACCAACAGCAACAATAGCAGCAACAGCATCAACACAAGCAATAACAATAATGAGAGCAATATTGACAAGAAGAACAAGGTGATCAG